AATCTGGTTTATACTTAACTTAAGTTAAACAATAATCATATCACTCTAACAAACCTTTTACCTTTAAACAGATTGGAAGAACTCTCTCTTATATCTCCAGTAGGACGAAAAATAAAACCTAACAAAGGGCGGAAAATGTCTCGATGAGTCAACGGCCTGCTAACTGGAGGTGGGGATCTCCAGAAACCACAGTGGAAAAGGCAACGGGAAATCACTCCATCATTAATCCCAAAAAATATCATGACAAATAACAAAAAACAGTATAAAACCTAGCGTATGCGGTCTGGCTTATGTTGAGCTCTTGGTAACTAGTGTAGCATTAATGTAATTCCTCGATAATATATACTAAGTTAAAAAATAATCATTTTATTCTATTCTCCCACCTTACTAACTTTGACCCAGAAAACTTTTACCCACAGACTTGTGGGAACCTCTCCCTCTCATATATATATAAATATATATATATATATATATATATGCACTAACTTTGACCCAGAAACCTTTTACCCTCTGATTGGTATAAAACTCTCCCATATATATATATATATATATATATATATATATATATATATATGGAGATTCTCAATCTGAGGGTAAAAAATTTCTGGGTCAAATATTATAATATATATATATATATTGACCCAGAAACCTTTTACCCGCAGATTGTCGGGTATCTGTTGTCTGTGTGTGTGTGTGTGTGTGTGTGTGTGTACTAACTTTGATCCAGAACACTTTACCCGCAGATTGGGGTGAATGTCTCCGTCTTCTCTCTCTCTCTCTCTCTATATATATATATATATATATATATATATATATATATATATATATATGTGTGTGTGTGTGTGTGTGTGTGTGTGTACTGTTTGTATACCCAGAACCCTTTTACCCGCAGATTGGGGGAATGTCTCCTTCTTCTATATATATATATATATATATATATATATATATATATATATATATATATATATATATATATATATGTGTGTTTGTGTGTGTGTGTGTGTGTGTGTGTGCGTGCGTGTGTGTGTGTGTGTACTGAATAAGTATTCCCAAGTCGGAATGACCCCGACTAAACCGGCTACCCCACTCCAACTTCTTACGAGGAAGGCGGCCTGTTAGCTAGCCAGTAGGACGAAACATAAGACCTAACAAAAGGCGAAAGACGTCTCGATTAGTCAATGGCCTTTTAACTAAAAGTGGTATCTCCCTAAATCACCGTCGAAGAAGCAACGCTAATTAGCCCAAGTAATATTGCAAGTAACACACACAATGTGAAACCTAACGGCGTGAAGGGGTTTAAGTCTATGGGAATTGACTCCTCGCACTGACCGACATGTACAACATTTGTCCCTTGACCGTCATCCAGTGACTGCTAGCACAAACGGCGTAAAAGGAGTAAAATTCCTCGGAATGTATCCCTTGCCCAGAAAGGGGCGACAGGTGTCACCGGACCGTTATCTTGCGACTGCCAGTATCAAACAAAAAATAAGCCTCTGGGCAGGGAACATTTGGACATTGAACAACTGTGGCCAGTTAGATAATGTAAAATAAGAGATGAGTAGGCTAAAAAACAACATCTTAAGTGTACGTGAAACTAGATGGCCATACAACTGAGATTTTATCAGTGACCATCACAGTATTATTTATGCAGAGGGAGAGAAAAGCGATAACGGCTTAGGGTTGATACTAGAGCAAGAATTCAAGAAATGCCTTCTGGAATACTACCAAATATCCGAAAGAATTCTAGTAGTCAAGCTGAAAGGAAAGCCTATCAATGTAGCTATCATAATAGTGTATGCCCCGACAGCACAAATTAAGGAAGAAGAAATCGAACATTTGTACTACGTGCTCGATAATGCTAAGTCTCATTGCAAATCGCAAGAAGTCATAATAATTATCATAGGAAACCTGAACGCTAAAGCAGGCAGGGAGAGTGCATGGGAGATAGCCAGAAAATTCGGACTAGTAACTCGCAACGAGCAAGTATAAAAATAGATCCAAAGGTACACGGCCAATGACCAGGTAATCGCCAACACATGGTTCCAAGAACATCCGAGACGATTATGGACATGGAAGAGTCCAGGCACGAAAATAAAAACCAAATTGACTACATAACTATCAATAAAAGATTCAGGAATGCAATGGTTCACTGCAAAACCTATCTAAGTGCCGACTGCAGGAGTGATCACCGCCCTGAAAGAAAAATATATGGACAGTATGAAAAGAAGATACGAGGGACACAATACAAATAGAAACTCGAAATGGGGGACACTGAGAGAAGAGCTTTAGTGACATCAGAAAACGATATCAGGAGAATGGAGGAAGAAGAAAAAAACGAATGGATAACTGATGAGATTCAAAGGAGACAGAAAAATCTGCCAAGATGCGGAACGGAATACGAAAAACTACACAACGAAATAAGGACTAAATGCAGGCAGGCTAAAGAAGAGTGGATAAACAAAAAAAAAATGGGCAGAAATTAAAAGATTGAGTACCACAAACAAAGTAGATATGCAAATAAAGGAACTAAGATGACAAAAGACATGCTCATCAACAGGTTGCATAAAATCCAAGGATCCAAGGATATTAAAGAAGGAAAAATTTCTTCAGCGTTGGAGCGAATATATTTGAGAACTCTCCCACGGTGAAAGGTAACAACCAGCAATAAACAGAACTACCGACGGGCCTGAAATTCTGAAAATTGAGGAAGAAGCTGCACTGGCGAAATTGAACAGAAACAAGGTGGCAGGGCCAGACGGAATTGTAACAGAAATGCTGACAGCTTTAGGTGATTTTGGCATAGCCAAGATTACAGAAATACTAAATGGTAACTACAACAGTGATGATATAACAGAAGAAATCAGCAGATCTATTTTTATAGCATTGCCTAAGAAACCAGGCGCAAACGAAAGTGAACTTCACCGAACAATCAGCCGAATGAGCCACATAACAAAAATCATCATCCCTATTCTGATGAATAGAGCACGCAGCAGAATAAGGCCAGATATAGGACAAGAACAGTGCGGGTTGGTTAAAGACACCGGAAAAAGGAACGCGATATTCATGCTCAGAATGTTATCAGAAAGGGCAATACAAATGCAGAAGGCCATGTACCTATGTTTCATAGACTACACAAAGTACGCCAAAAAGATCTGTCCAGCAACCTTGATATATTTGGGAAAGATATAAGAATAATCAAGCACCTGTACTGGCAGCAAACGGCCTGCATGCGGATAGAGAATGAGTTCAGCAGATATACAAAAATAGAAAGGAGAGAGGCAAGGATGTGTCTTCTCACCGGACTTATTCAACCTATACAGCGAGGCACTGCTGAGAGAACTGGAAATATTCATTATTGACTTCCTCAATCTTAACGGCTTAAGATACGTAGATGACACAATGCGGATAGCAGACACGGAAAGGAAATTACAAAACATCCTACAGCAGTTAGCGAAAGAGAGCAAGAAGAAGGGACTAAGCATCAACTACAAGAAGACAGAATAGATGGTCATCAGTGAAAAGATGAGCCCGAAATGCGATTTACAGGTCGGGGAACTAAAATTAAGCATGTGCGGTCATTTAAATATCTGAGAAGTGTTCTGGCTGAGGACGATATGTACGATGCTGAGATCCGAAGACGTATTGGGTTGGCCAAAGACGCATTCCAAAATCTAGACAGAGTATTACAAGACAGGAGGATATCGTTTGTAACAAAGGAAAGATTACTGAGCTCCTATGTGACATGTGACTTCCTTCATATCAGCGAATGTTGGACGGTCTCTTCAAATATGAAGAAGAGACTCGTGGCAACGGAGGTATGTCCCTACAGAAGGATGCTAAGGATACCATGGACCGAGCGGGTGAGCAACGATGATGTTTTGAAGAGGTTGCAAACAAGGAGGAAGCTTATACTTAACGTCAGAAAGAGGCAGCTGAAATTTCGGGGACACTTAATGAGAAAGGAGAGCTTGGAGAATCTGATATTCACAAGGCGAATAGAGGGAGAGAAAGACAAAGGAAAGCAACGCGTGGCATACATAGCGGGCTTAAGCAAATAGATGCCGGAAAAGAGTTTGGAAGAAGTAGTAAAAGGAGAAAACATATTGAGAGACTAGCAGCATGACCCGGCGTTTCCCGTGCTTGATTCAAAAATCGTACGACTCATACAGCAGTCGCTATCACTTGACTTAAAATATTTTTTCCCTTCTTGCCTTTAAAGGAGTGCCCTTTGCTGTGCCGATGTTTCTACATGCCTTACTTCTTGCCTATCTCACACTGCGAAGTTTTTCTAAGCTCTATACTAAACATTAAATCTGTTACGAAAAAAGAACTAAACAAAATGAAAACAAAAAGATCAGCTTTAAAAAAAGGACTCGTAACTGGAAAAACCGAATGAAAAAAGAATGTTAACAACAAATACTTTTTCACACCCAACCCAGTTCTGCGGAATCAGAATCAACGTTGAGTTTAAGAAAGCGAATGAGCCAATTCGAGTATAGTGCCATGCAGATTTAAATTTTTCCCACTTGTGACGAATGCAGCTATCGATTTTTTTTTGCATGCTAGCATGCTAGTTAACATTCATCTGTCAGTCAGCTGTTGGCTCTCACGCTGGCCAATAGAATTTTCCTGCCTATTCGTGGCAGCCAGCTATTGGCTCTCACGCTGGCCAGTACAAAATAGCCGAAAACTACACGAAAACTGCTGTAGAAGCATGAAAAAATCGATTATTTCCACTATCGATGGGAGTTTGGAAATGCAAAGTCGGTCTTGGCCTTTTTGCTAACTTGGAGCATGTGCATGTAAATTTTGGTGCAAATCCATGGAAAATTGCGGCCGTGCATTCGTTACACACACACACACACACACACATCCTGCCTTTTATAGATAGAGATATAAGGGATAGGGGAAGTGGAGAGACATGATCGCCTAAGTCCTGAGTCCTATATTTTGTACTATTTTATTAACACTAGAGTCTATGTATATATATATATATATATATATATATATATATATATATATATATATATATATATATATATATGATTATTAAAAACTTAAATATTTAAACGTATTTCTATGTAAATATTTTCTTTACCCGCAAGTTATATATAGAACGTTAAAAGAAATCTTTGAGAGCACAATTTCCAGCGATGATATTCAAATCTATATTTTGCCTCCGGAACAAATTCTCCTCTGATTGATACCGATCATCAATAAGCGATATTCTTTTTTGGTTCCATTTTCTTTTTTTTTTTTTTAATTCTTCAGACTTGACCTCCACACAACACCTATTTTTTGTTCCATATTAAATAAGAGTACAAGTGAGAACCATGTATATATATTATCTGGAGACATATTGTCGATCTCTTTTGACTTTCGAATCTTAAAGCCATCAGAAAGAGGAAGCAGTATAATGTCCCCGTCCTTTTAAACTTCCTTTTTCACAATATTTATTTTTTTTGTTTGCTCTATCTTTTTATCATTTTGATATTCTACAGAGATGCTATAGCATCCTGTTAGTATTTGAAAGGAAGCTGGCGCAATACACTCATCCTTATTTGTTAAATTTCGGTTCTACGTACTTAGGTTTTTATAATTTCTGTCCTTGAATATATCATATCTTATCATGTCTATGAGATGAGGTATTGTATCTATTTACATTATATACATTGTTCAAACTGTTGTCATATTCACGACGTTTTGGCCGTTTTATGCTCCGGCCTTCTTCAGGAAATATACGTTGGAATTTCGAACCCTTTTAGTTATTCCCCGGGGATTATTCTAGTTCTAAGTATCATTTATTTTTTCTTTATATCTCAGTTTCAGATAATTCTCTTGAGTAAATCGACTCTCCAAGTTCTTGTGCACCTCTGTTGTGGTCAGGTATTGAACTCACAACTCTTTGGGAAAAATCACTGGATTGCTTCAACCAACGCTTTTATCCACTGATCCATGTGGCTTTGAGAAAATACTATCTAAATCTATTTAGAACTTATCTCTTGACCTGTCAATCTATCTAAATCTGCTCAGACACTGTGTATGTGTATGTTCATATCTGTTTATAACTATCAATCTCTCTCTATCTCTTGCTCTGTCTATCTCTCTCTATCTCTTGCTCTGTCTATCTCTCTCTATCTCTTGCTCTGTCTATCTCTCTCTATATCTATATATATATGCTTATATCTATCTATTTTTTCACATCAAGGTATGTTCATATATATATCTATCATGGTATGTTCATTATTCATCATTCATCTATCTATCTATCTATCTATCTATATATATATATATATATATATATATATATATATATATATATATATATATATACTGTTCATATTCATCTATCTATCTATCTATCAGTGTATGTTCATATTCTATCATCTATCTATCTATCTATCTATCTATCTATCTATCTATCTCAGACTGTTCATATTCTATCTCTCTATCAGTATATGATCATAACTATCTATCTATCAGTGTATGTTCATATCTATCTATCTATCTATCTATCTATCTATCTATCTATCCAGTCTATTCATATCTCGTAGGACTGTATGTTCATATCTATCTATCTATCTATCTATCTATCTATCTCAGCCTGTTCATATCTATCTATCTATCTATCTATCTATCTATCAGTGTATGTTCATATTCATTTTATCTATCTATCTATCTATCTATCTATCTATCTATCTATCTATCTATCTCAGTCTATTCATATCTATCACTGTATGTTCATATCTATCTATCTATCTATCTATCTATCTATCTATCTATCTATCTATCTATCTCAGTCTATTCATATCTATCTATCTATCTATCTATCTATCTCAGCCTGTATGTACATAACTATCAGGCATGACTGTAAATTAAGATACACACACACCCACATATCGAACGGAAAACGTGATTGCTGTAAGCGCAAAGCAACAGCGGGTATGCATTACTTTTTGTAACAACCGGAACAGCCGTAATATTGAGTAATGTCACAACAATGGTGAGTGTGACCATAAAACAATGGACAACGTTGATTCTGTGGCCTGCAAACCGGCATCTTCACTGACACCCACCCCATCAAATTTCAAAGTTCAGCAGTTAGCAAGGAAACGGATAGCAACTGTCTTTTGGAATACAAAAGGTGTGCTACTAATGAACTTCATAACACGGGGTTATAGAGTTAATACAGTCAGAGACATTGAAGCATTAGACAGATTGAATGAAGTTGTTTGTCAAAGGAGAGTAAGATGTTTGTTTTATGTCATTACTGTTGACATAATTCTCTCTTCTGTAATATCATAATTGCTTTTACAAATTTTTATTTCTAAACATTGTTGGAGTTATTTATGAACGAGACTCTGAAACTAGTAATTTGCATAATGATAATTTACGGGATATCTGAAAAGTAATTTCATTGATTGATTGACGGCTTATCAACATTTTGCAGATTATTTAAAACCAGAAAATTTGTGTTTTTTATGGCTTATTAAAATTTTGCAGGTTATTTTAAACCATAAAAGTTATTTTTTACGGTTTATCAACCTTTTGCAGATTTTTTACCACCAGAAAACAAATTTTACAGCTTATCAACCTTTTCCAGGTTATTTAAAAATAGAAAATTTGTGTTTGTTAAAATTAATTATCAACGTTTTGCAGGTTATTTAAAACCATAAAATTTGTATTTTTTACGGCTTATCAACCTTTTCTAGGTTATTTAAATCCATAAAACTTGTGTTTTTACGGCTTATCAACGTTTTGCAAGTTATTTTAAACCAAAAAATTTATTTTTTAAGCTTTATCAACCTTTTGTAGGTTTTTTAAAACCAGAAAATGGTTTTAGGTTGTAAGAATTTTTTGAAGATAATTATGATTTTCTAATACGTGTCGTTTTAATTGTTGTTCATGATGACGGTCGTCTTCGAGTATAGAATCCAGAGGTTAGCAGTGAATATTTCGAAGACAGTAGGGAAGCGTTGTTCAGGTTAGCAGTGGATATTTTGGTAAAAAGTAGCAGAGCATAGTTCGTCCTTCTGGTTCTCTTCGCCTGACAAGCTGGCACTGGACATTCGGGTAGAGTGAACAAAAATGGCCGCCTTTATACACAACGGATTGAATGTTCTACGTCTTCTGATTGGTTAACCTTCTATTGGTGGACTATAAAGCGAGTTAAGTCATTTGAGCTAACTCACTAGTACATACATATACACAAAAAACTGCAACATTAATTAACCCATAGCTGGGGGGAAGAAGATGTGCATTCATATCTTATATATATATATATATATATATATATATATATATATATATATATATACACGATTAATATGAGTAAACGATTGTAACTTAGCTGGCTAATGTTACCTTCAGTATTCTGATTCTAGTAGACGAACGTCTCCGTCTACTGTTAAGTAGCATTAGCAATTTACTGCTAATATTTTTTCGATATTATCCTTTTTATGCATTTAACATTGGTGAATATTTTGTCTTTATTTTTTGTGTTCCTCTGTGGATTTGTGCGCGTGCAGCCATGCGCCTGTTTCTGCGGATGTGGGTTCGCGCCTGTGCGCCTGTCTTCGCGGATGTGCGTACATATAGGGTGTCAGGATCATTTTTCCTTTTCGTTTGTTCTTTTTTTCACTTTATGCATTAACGAATTTTATTTACAATTCACTATCATTTCTTTTTACTAAAACTAATGCATTCATATTTATGACTAGCAGCATGGCCCAGCGTTGCCCGTGCTTGATTCAAAAATCGTACAACTCATACAGCAATCGCTATCACTTGACTTAAAATATTTTTGCCCTTCCTTGCCTTTAAAGGAGTGCCCTTTGCTGTTCCGATGTTGCTACCTGCCTTACTTCTTGCCTATCTCACACTGCAATTTTTTTCTAAGCTCTATACTAAACATTAAATCTATTACGAAAAAAGAACTAAGCAAAATGAACACAAAACGATTAGCTTTAAAAAAGGACTCGTAACTGGAAAAACCGAATGAAAAAAGAATGTTAACAACAAATACTTTTCCACACCCAACCCAGTTCTGCGGAATCAGAATCAACGTTGAGTTTAAGCAAGCGAATAAGCCAATTGGAGTAAAGTGCCATGCAGATTTAAATTTTTCCCACTTGTGACGAATGCAGCTATCGATTTTTTTTTTTTGCATGCTAGCATGCTAGTTAACATTCGTGTCAGTCAGCTGTTGCTCTCACGTTGGCCAATAGAATCTTCCTGCCTATTCGTGGCAGCCAGCTATTGGCTCTCAGTCTGGCCAGTAGAAAATGGCCGCAAACTTAATGAAAACTGCTGTAGAAGCATGAAAAAATCGATTATTTCCACTATCGATGGGAGTTTGGAAATGCAAAGTCGGTCTTGGCCTTTTTGCTAACTTGGAGCATGTGCATGTAAATTTTGGTGCAAATCCGTCGAAAATTGCGGCCGTGCATTCGTTACACACATACACACACATACACACACATCCTGCCTTTTATAGATAGAGATTTTTATTGCAATATTATGTTAAATTTGTTAAGCTATTTAAGAAACCCATAGAGGGATTTTCCTCAATATTTTTTTTGAACTTTCAAGTTTCTTAATCTATCGTTAACAAATTAAGATTGATTAGAAAATCCAAATAGAATATCGTGAAATTCTCACGAGCATTTCTAGTAAATATGAATACATGTCATTATTTATAGAAATAAGTGGTTGCAAATTATAAGATTGAAAATTGACATTTCACAGAAGCATACGTATAATATATGAAAGTATTATCACCCGCTATATCTTTACTTTCACTCATTTTTTGTCTTTTCTTTCATTCTTTATCCCAGGTAGAAAGTTAAACAGAAAAACAAGAAATATCTCTATCTTTCCGTCTGCCTTTTTTTCTCACTTCCCCCTTTCTTTCCCTAAAACCAAACAGTGCTTTTCATATATGTTTTCTTCAGTTTCGTTGTCAGAGGACAGGCAAGCTATTACAGTTTTCTTCTCGTAATCTGAGGCAATGATATGTGCTAATTAAGTAACTAAATAAATAACCCAAGAACAACTAGGATTCCAATATGTCGCTTGATTTAAGAATACGGCTAACTTAAATCTGTTATCGATTAAGCTCTTTTTCTCTAATTTCTTTTACAGTAACATATCTTCATTTTCATTTTATATCCTCTTTGAACCGGTTTCGGAACTGGAAAAGGTAACGATACGCTTGGCGTGAGATTTTCGTCGAAATAACTTTGGTCGATTCAGACACTATCAGGAAAATGATCCTTTACACTTGTGCTTCATCGAATCTTTTATTTTAATGACGACAGCCGGACAATGCCTAAGATTTAGTTAGTTGACGCTGGAAGACTTATTCGGCTATGAAAGCGTTAATATCTTATTTTAACATTTCATGTTCTCAAAACAATATTTCCACACTAATTTTATACAACATATTTGATTTGGTTCGTCAATGTTTATAACTCTATCAAAGGAAACAGAGAAAATTGTTGCAGGAAAGATTTTGTTTTCTTTTGAAATTATCGTCTGCTAACTTTTTTTTGAAGTAGCGTCATTGTTTGTCTTATGATGAAAGCAAACGGACATGTTTCTTGTGAGCTATTTTTTAAATAAAAAAAAGAAATAACGGTGACAAAGAAAGTAAAATTGAATACAAACAAAAGTATTTCTGTGAAAATGTTGGGCTATTATCTTTCATTTTCATCCATTCGGTTTGCTGTGACTGAGTTTAATTTTAGAACGAAATACGGCACAAAAAAACTCACTAAAAACTATAAATAATTAAAAGCGTTATCTCAATTCAAAGCCCTGATTTAGTTTTATATTGCGAAAAAATAAATTGATACCTTTGATTAAATATTTTCTGGTCATAATATTGAAGTGTGTTTCCATAGTGTTTCCATAGTGGACCATATATTGAAATGTGTTTCAATAGTGTTTCCATAGTGGACCATATATTGAAGTGTGTTTCCATAGTGTTTCCATAGTGTACCATATATTGAAGTGTTTTTTCATAGTGTTTCCATAGTGGACCGTATATTGAAGTGTGTTTTCATAGTGTTTCCATAGTGGACCGTATATTGAAGTGTGTTTCCATAGTGTTTCCATAGTGGACCATATATTGAAGTGTGTTAAAATAGTGTTTCCATAGTGGGCCGTATATTGAAGTGTTTTTCCATAGTGTTTCCATAGTGGACCGTATATTGAAGTGTTTTTTCATAGTGTTTCCATAGTGGACCGTATATTGAAGTGTGTTTTCATAGTGTTTCCATAGTGGACCGTATATTGAAGTGTTTTTTCATAGTGTTTCCATAGTGGACCGTATATTGAAGTGTGTTTTCATAGTGTTTCCATAGTGGACCGTATATTGAAGTGTGTTTCCATAGTGTTTCCATAGTGGACCATACATTGAAGTGTGTTAAAATAGTGTTTCCAGAGTGGAAAATATATTGAAGTATTCTATAGAAAATGACTTCACTCAGTGGGACTTGAAATTGATTCCTTCAATCATAAGAACGCCAGAATTTAAAAAAAAAAAGTAGCCAGTTGTGTAAATATACACAGACCAATCTTTGAGAGAGTGGATGAGAATGTTGCATAATAAGTCGGGACTGTCTATATCTCTGAGATGAGGTATCATGCTTACTTGCATTGTTTTCATTATTCAGACAGTTATCCTCATATTCACAACGTTTCGGCCGTTGTACGCTCTGGCCTTCTTCAGTTGTTTGGAATTTCGATTCGAACCTTCTTTTCGTCCACCGTGGTAGATTGTTCTAGTTCCACGTGCTGGAAAAAAAAAGAAACTCAATTAGTTTAGCTTTTCTTTTCTTTTTTTTTTTTAGATATTAAACATTTTGTGGGAAGAATAAATACGCTGTTAGATGATTTGGATAATTTTGCTGTTACAACCGTTATTTAAAACTCTGTAACTGCTTGATTCTGATTAACTTGAAATGTCCTTCTCGCAAATTGTCTTCTTGTGGTTAATAGTCAGTCAGATCTTATAGTCAATTGTGTTTTCTTTCTGAAAGTTTTCTAAACTGTCTACATTTCAAATCATCTCACTTGCTCCCCATGTCGCTTGATAACTTTAATCATAGCTTTCACAGCTTTGGCTTTTTTCCATCTCTCCTTTTTCACTGTGATAATTGTTCCTGTATCATTTCCTACTTGATCCTGAATCTTTTCCTACCTGATCCTGCATCTTTTCCTACTTGATCCTTCATCTTTCACTACTTGATCCTGCATCGTTTCCTACTTGATCCTGTATCTTTTCCTACTTGATCCTTCATCTTTTCCTACCTGATCCTGCATTTTTTCCTACTTGATCCTGCATCTTTTCCTACTTGATCATGCGTCTTTTCCTACTTGATCCTTCATCTTTTCCTACCTGATCCTGCATTTTTTCCTACTTGATCCTGCATCTTTTCCTACTTGATCATGCGTCTTTTCCTACTTGATCCTTCATCTTTTCCTACCTGATCCTGCATTTTTTCCTACTTGATCCTGCATCTTTTCCTACTTGATCATGCGTCTTTTCCTACTTGATCCTTCATCTTTTCCTACCTGATCCGGCATCTTTTCCCACTTGATCCTTCATCTTTTTCTACTTGATCCTGTATTTTTCCCTAATGTATCTTTCCCTACTTGATCCTGCATCTATTCCTACTTGATCCTGTATCTTTTTCTACTTGATCCTGTAACTTTTCCTACTTGATCCTGTATCTTTTCCTACTTGATCCTGCATCTTTTCCTACTTGATCCTTGCATCTTTTCCTACTTGATCCTTGCATCTTTTCCTACCTGATCCTGCATCTTTTCCTACTTGATCCTGCACCTTTTCCTACTTGATCCTGTATCTTTTCCTACTTGATCCTTGCATCTTTTCCTACCTGATCCTGCATCTTTTCCTACTTGAAGCTGTGTATTTTCCTACTTGATCCTGCATCTTTTCCTACATGATAAGCTTGTCTTACCCGCTGCTTTTCTCTTTTTTCTTGCCCGCAGCAATTGGTTAACTAATAAAATTTGTACCACTAAACCATTCCTCTTCTTCTTTTATGTATCTCTTCAAGACGTAAGGGATCATGTCTCTCCACCTCCTCCTGTCTCTTGTAGCTCTCTTGTTATTTCTCCCAGACCGTGTTCTGCCATCTACTTTCTTAAGCCCGTTAAGTATGTCACACATTGCTTTCCGTTCTCTCTCTTTCCCTCTACCCGCCCTGTGAGTATCAGATTCTCCAAGCGCCACTTTCTCATTACGTGTCCAAGCGCCACTTTCTCATTACGTGTCCAAGAAATTGCAGCTGCCTCTTACTGATGTTTCCTCTTAGTTTGCATCCGCCTCGTTGCTCACATGTTCAGCCCATGTTATCCTTCGATTCCTTCTGTAGAACAACACCTGGGTTTTTCGAGTCTCTTTTTCATCTTTGAGTAAATTGTCCAACATTTGCTACCGTAAAGAGGACTACTCTTTTCATTAAAACCAACGAAGCTCTCCTGTCTTGTAATATTCTGCCAAGTTTTTGGAAGCTCTTAAAAAAAATTCTGACAATTTAAATATATTGTATCACTTTAAATAAACAGTAACGTGTTGATAAGTCGTAAAAAACGAATTAATCAATTTCTTTCTTGTCTTTTCCATGCTTTACGTGTTTTTAATTTTCCAGGTCTTTTCCCGGATAATGCAACACTAAAATTTCCATTTTTTCTTTCTGATTGTTAACAACACTATCTGTGTAGTTCTTATTCTTCTTAGAACTTGTTTTTTATTTCTCCTTGCCTTTTGCAAAATTTATAATCTAGCCAACGCTTTCTATCAGTTGAAGTATTCGCCGAGAGACGATGCCCAATGTATCCAATCAAATCCTGATGAGAAATACCAACCGTTTCATTCAGACCATGACGTTGACACATTATCGTACACATATGCAAGATCGATGGATACAATATGGTCGGGATTGAGATGAGTATTCACTTCGCCAACATGAACCCAGAACTGGAGCAGCAGCCGACAATCGTAGAAGGCGTGCTCAGCCGTTTCGTCTAAGCCACAATTACACCGGTGACAATCAAGCATTTTGGCAAGCCCGCTTTGAACACCTCCTTAACATCCCTGCCACTTAACAGTCTAAATATTTTGCTTTTAGATTATATTATCATCTCATTTTCTCCAAGAATATTGCTGTATTCGCATTGGTATTATTTTGTTGTTTTCTTTGAAAATCAATGAAGAACATGATTACCGTAATTCCCTATGTATAATACGCCTTTTTTTTTCTAAAATAATAATAAGCAAAATTAGCAGTACGTATTATGCACAGATACAAAAAATCTTTTTTAAATAATACTGTTTCATACGTTGATTTCAGTTGCAAAATGACTACTCACCACAAACATACGACAATTTCACACTAACATTCGGCGATTGCGACTCCATAAGGATGTCAAATACAATCATATGTACCTAACAATACTTACAAATGTAAAACAAAATAAGAATTATCATAAAACTAAATAAGAATAATATTATTCTATGTTTTTAAAACCATTTTTTGTGAAAAACTACGTATAGTTCCGGTAGATTGCACATTTTATCGAACAAAAACAGGTTAATGAGTCTGCGCAGTAGGCACAATATAGGTATTTCCGCTTTCCGTGATGATCAGAAATTTTGATATCTTCAATTACAGCTTGAATAAGAGTAGGAAACGCTGGCCGTAATGAAATTGGAAAGGTACAATTTATAGGGTTTGATTGCCAAACAAGGGGTGCGTATTATACGTGAGTAGAAGCATTTTCCCACACTTTCAGTACAATTTTAAGGTGCGTATTATACATGGGAAATTACGGTACTTAATACTCCAAGACTAAATTTACTGTTCGAGGTGTCTTTTAGCAGTGCCTTTCATTTCTCCCTGGCATTCCCAGGTTCTCTAATTTATTTCCACTATTCATCAAGACCCAGCCAAAAACATCAATAATATT